TCCATATTACATTATTACTTATTGAAATAGTTAATTTGGACAAATTTTGACATAAATTTTTATCTAATTCGCTATTTTTTCTTTTTCTTTATTTCATATCCATATTATCTTTTCTCCAGCTAATTTACTTACTTTTGCTATTAATTTTAATAAGTTTGGAATAAAATTTCTGACCTGATTTACTAATCCTAAGAATAATTGAAGTTTTTTTTATTTTTAATTCAATCAGATTTCAATATTTTTTTACTAATATGTTCTTGTAAAAACCCTTTTCAATTATGGCCTCATCCACTCAATATATCCTTCTAATGATATGTCTGAAATATCTAAACTTTTAAATTCTATCAAAGAAGCTATCAAACATTATTTTGAAATAGTAACCAAATACCGAGTCTTTATTCAATGTTACTCTACAATAACAGAAATAACTCCTGACAAATTTTATCCTTCAATTAATCTGATTAAATTTGGGACAATAAGAAGACCATTCGAATATGAGCAAGAAGAGAAAGAAGACATTATAGAAGATGAAGACCTCAGATATAAGATATCCACTATTAGAGCACAAGAAGTACATATTATTTTTCAAGAACTCAACAGGACAACTACTGCAGAAGAAGAATAGTGGACATATTTCACTGGACCAACAACGTGTATTTTCTCAGTAGGAAGGGATAACAGAAATTCAAGAAGCTTCAATAATTGGTACCAAAAATTAAGAAATAATATGATGAATAATGATGAAGGGACAAGGAAGAAAATATGTCAAGTATTGTCAGAATATGCTATCTATAAATGTAAATATTTGTGATGAAAAAAGAGAAGCCGACAAAGATTATGAAGACCTTTCTATCAACATGAATATTCTGGATTAATCTGCGGACAAGTAAAGAAGAAGACTAGTTGACAAGATAGAAAATAGTAGAAGAAAAAGTTAAAAAGTCTAAGAGCTAAAAAGAAACCTAAACCTATATTATCTCTTGTAATAATTCCTTTAACTTTTCATTTTGTCAAAAAGTCTAAGTCTATATTGTCTCCTTACTTTTTCATTTTTGTCAAAAGTAGTTTTGTTTTCTTGTAATTATTAGAGTTAAATTAACCAAGATCGTGTAATTAGGGTTGGAATGCCAACTTTATATAAAGTCCTGTAATCTCTGAGGCAACACACACTTTTGAGAGAAGAGTTGCATAAGAAACATTGCTATTACTCTTCTCTTTGAAACTGTGCAATAAGGACAAAACCTGACAAAGTAAAGATCACAAGACAACTCAATCAAAGACCTAATTCTCAAGTCGACAGTAAGCAGGTAAAAATTATGCCTTGGCAAATGTCATCTAGTATCTAATTCTAAGTAGGTAAAATTATGCAAAATTGAGAATAAGGTTAAAAATTAAACACAATACCTTAATTCTAAATAGTCAACATATGTTGACAAATGCAAAAGGAGCTATGAATGATTCATTATAGAAAGAGCCCATTATTGTAAAGAACAAAATCTTCATCAAGTGTGAAAACTACATTCTGCCATGTGAAAATATAACGAATCTACAATCTAATAAGCATCATTGGTAGAAGCACACAAATGTTAGACATAAAAAATTGGAAGAATAAAGACGGAAACCTAAGAGAAACTAAATGCAGTATAAAAAAATGTGATATAAAGAAATTGAGGGATGGAGGAAAAAAATTCACCAATGAAAATGTGGAGAATTTTGAAGGAATGAACTTTGAAGTGTGAATTTTGAACCTTGAATAGAGTCCAAAAAAAACAAGAGCTGTGAAGTCTAAATCAACAAATTTGTTTTGAACAGCAGCAATATCATGCCTGTTTGTGTATATAACTACAAATACACAAAATGAGGGAAAAAAATTGAGGGATGGAGGAAAAAAATTCATCAATCAAAATGTGGACAATTGTGAAGGAATGAACTTTGAAGTGTAACTTTTGAACCTTGAATAGAGTCAAAAAAGAAGAGCTGTGAAGTCTAAATCAACAAATTTGTTTTGAACAGCAATATTATGTCTGTTTGTGCATATAACCACAAATACACAAAATCTATTCCGCTTACAGAATGTCATTATGATATGTTTAATAAAAGTAGTCAAGGAAAATTAGTCAAACAATGTTGTAACATGTATATAAAAAACACGGGGACAACTTGAATGTGTATTGTAAGATAATTTCAACATGCCAAGTATTCAGAAGGCAAGTCCATTAGCATGCAATTCATATAGGTAATAAAATTTGATTGCCATAAATTAGTTTAGATTGCTAAAATATAATTGATGAACTTATCCCACTCAATGAGGTAAAAAAACTTAACCCAATGATGCTTTTTGAAAAAAAAAAAATGCAACAGAATTGTGCCAAACAACGATCCCAAAAAAGACACTTGTTTTGACAACCTTGACCATAGTACAAAGAAATGACTAATTCCCACACATTGTCACTTACCTATCTTAAATCGAGAAAATTGATATGTGAAATTAACAGTCAATGACCAGAGCTAAAGTTAAGTCCTCATATCTTAGCAGATCTGATGCTGGCATTGACACAAGGCTGCCTGTGTTTTTATATGAACTTCTTTCCAAATAGGATTGAGCCTAGCTCCCTTTCCGATGTTTACTTTACTCAAGTAACTCATATATTAATTAATAAATTAACAGTTAGTTTGATTTGCAAAATGCTAATTTCTTTCAACAAAAAACCCCCACCCGCAGTAGCTTCTCACCCAGAGCAATTGACATGTACATGCATATGTATGCCATTGAAGATTATGAAAATACAAAACTCTGCTTGGAATCAAAGTTCAAACGTACACTTCAGGAAGTAGAAATTATAAGGAAACAAAATTTTCATTTAGCAGTATGTGAACCTCCTCTACATGGTCAAGTCTATTTTGAGGCAATTCTCAGAAATGGGCCAAACAAAAATTCATCAAATGCCCTTGTTTACAACCATCATATACTATTAGTTTACATTTTGCAGTGTAATTCCAGCTTAAATTGATAGATAAATTAGTAAACTTGCACTCAATCATCAAGATGGATTTTTATCCTTGACGTGAAGGATCATATTCTGGTAAGATACTGAAATTCATGTTATTTCAACTAAGAAAGGGTACAAGTTAAACATACAGCAAAGCATATATAGAGATGGAACTCTGAACATATCATATATGAACAACATTTTTCTAAGTATAAACAGAAATTACCTTAATGAATGCTGATGCTGCTAACTCAGCTATCAACCTCGGATCTCAAAGAAATGTAGCTCTCGATGAACCTCAGTCTATCCCACCCAGTTTCTTCCTTTTCCAGAACACCATCATATGTCTTCTTTGTCCTCCTCCCCTTTAATTTGCCTACACCCAAGACTCTAATGTACCGTTATCAACACATAACCCATCTCTTGAAAACATTGAGGAGTTAATCTCATGTATAACTTAGAAGCCCCCCAAATAACGAAAACCACTCCCTCCAATTCCCCCGCTCCAACCCCATAAATAGTAAAGAAGGGTCAAGCTCAGATGATAAATCACCTAAATAAAACCTAAAATATACAACTTAACTCCTTCAATCTCCTCAAAATGCAGTCATCAAAACAACAGCCAGTAATTTAAACCCACAAGGAAAACATAGAGAGCAGATAATGTGGAGTAAAGAGTAAAGAATATGAGAAGCAAAGCAGTGAGCCAAAGAAGGGGGAAAAAAACAAAAGATACAGGCGCTTGATTCAAATTAAAAATGGATGGAAAAATCAAACAGAAGAAAAAATAGGAAACCAGAACGCGAGGATTACTAAATAAAAGTAGACTAAGAGAACCTGATCTGATAGGTGACATCCTTCTTCGTGATGCCTTTTGCTGCGACGGAGTCGGAGACCTCGTCACCCGTGACTCCTTCAGGCCACTGTAGAAGAGTGACAAAATGGGGGACGAATACGAGTGGGGAATTCTAATTCGCTGATGGAGAGAGAGCAGACGCGATGTTTCAATATCTCATAAGATTTCTCGAAGATTCGAACGCTTTATGTGGAGAACTGAGGATCGGACGACAACTGCAGTTTTTTCCGTTCTCTCCTCTGTAGGGCGCTCGCCGATGAGCTTCCAATATCCAAGAGAATGAAAGCATGTAACCTACTTTTTTTTTTTTTTTGGTCAAGCATATAGCCCATTAACCACAGCTGATTTTCCCTCCCCGATGACACTCACCAGTGGGCCCCACAACCAAGCAATCTACAATTTTAACGACTAATCCCATCCACTTAGGCCTAAAAATTCCCATCCACTAATAAAGCTCAGTGTCTTAGCCCATTTAACACTGTTTAAAAATTGTAGTTCTCCAGTAATTGATTATTATACTTTACACTATATAAAAGGCATGTTTATTGAAGATTAAAAAATAAATAATTTTTAAATAATTTAAAAATTTTATAAAAAGAGATTTATTTTATAAAAATCTTATAAAAACTAAATATTATTTTATATTTAATTATAATAATAAAAAATAATAATTAATTAATTATTTTTAAATTTTATTATATTTTTCTTGATTTTTATTTTATAAAAGTAATATACTGTTATATTACTTTAAAATTTTATAATATTTTTACGAATCTGTTCGTTTAAAACACTATTTTTCATTTATCGTATTAAATTATTTTTAAAAATTATTTAAAATAATTTTTTAAAATAATTAAAAATTTATTTTTTAAGAATTTTAAATATTTTTAAAAATTTAAACAAACATGATGAGAACTAATAAAATAAATTTTTTAAAAAAAATAAGCAATTTTTTTATTAAATAAGTTAAAAGAAATGGATCCAAAATGAAGTCACGATGTAGCATGGTAAATAGACTTAGAGATTAAGTCTCTATTTATCATAATTTAGCACCTTTTTTTTTTTTTTCTTGGCCAGCAGCACTTTTGGAAGTGGAAACCCACACTTGAATTTTTGTATATTCCCCGAAATTCCCACTAAATCCGACTTAGAATTTGTCGTTCATTTCGCATTCCGCTCCAAAAGCCTCCTCCTCTGACACAGTCTTTTTGTCCAATAGTGTCTCTTTCCTCAACCGGGTCTTCGCTTGTACTATAGCATTGACTGAGTAATACTAAGGTCTAAGGCAAACCACAAGATGGTCAGTTTCAGAATCGGAGGCTATAGAAAATCTAGTCACTATGAAGACGTTCTTGCACTAATGGCCTGCTAAAAGGTATGGGGGATTTTCTGCTAAGGTTTGTTGTTCTCCGTGTGCTTTTCTTGGGTTTGGTGGATATTACTGGTTCTGAATTTTGTTTATTTTGGTTTTGATTTCGCTGGGTGTGGATGATGAATTTGTTTTGGGTTCCTTGCTTGCCTTGTTTGCGTTTTTTTATTTTTGTTGAACCAGATGGTATAACTGGATGCAGAGAATTATCTCCTCATTCATAGACCTATTCAACTAATCTCTCTAGGTCCTAGAATATTCCCCTGGTGATGGCTTGTGCTAATTCATGTTGGCTGTTTGAAGTATTTTTGGTATGTGAATTATTGAATAACAAATGGATACATAATCAGAGTGATAACAAAATGACAAGAATATTTCAGTTTCTATTGAAAATAATCAGAGTAATTTCTTATGTAAATCATAAAACAGAAAAAGTAGTGATGTTTGACTGTGTTTAAGGCTTTTCCTTGTTTTGATAACTGGAAACATGCATAAATGTATGATGGTTGATGGTTCACGTGCACTTTTTTGGCTCCAAGTTTATTATACACTTCTATGTTTTTTGTTTTTTGTTTTTTTTTTGAAAAAAAATATCTGTCTTCATCTCATGCCTTTGTTTTTAATGCTTCAAAAAGTGCACTTGTTATAATAAGGATGGACCTCATTGTTATTTCTGTAAGTTTTCTGGTTGTGGTGGACAATTTGCAAACCATATAACTTTTGAACCCTCAAACAGCCATAAAGTAAATCATGTTGCATTTGCAATGAATGATCATCCAACATAGACATTTGCATGCTTTGTGATGGCATTACTCTTTATCAGGTTTCCTATCATCTAGAACTAATCTCTCTCTCTCCCCCTCCCTTTCGAAAATGCTAGAAAAGAATTAGTAAAGCAACTGTTATCTCTAACTGTCTTGGGTGTTCAATTTTGTCAGTACTAGCTGGTTGAAGTATTGGATTATCTTTGTGACAACTTTTTGACAGCGAACCACTCTATCATGAGGCTCCTGCAAGATAATTTGTTTGTTTGAATGTCAAGAGAGATCAAATAATGGTTCATGGAACTGATTTAGTTACCTTTGGAGTCTCTGCTGGTTTGGCCTTCGGAATTTTGATAGCTTGTCTTGTATGTTTGGTCATAAAGTGGTATAAGAAGCGTGCTCATCTTAGACATTGTGCAAATGAGCGTAGTCAAGCAACTCTTCCAATACGCACAAATGGATTCGAAACAAGCACTGACTTTAGTGCTTCTCTTACGAGCTCCATAGCTGCTCCAAGTTCAGACAATTTTCAGAAAGCTTCTCATTTTTCTTGGTGGAAACGTCCAAAGAAAGATCAGTTTGCATCCTCGTCAGGCATTCTTAGATACTCATTCAAGTATGTAAATTTTTTTACTGGTGCTAAATTTTATCCCTCTTTCTGTAATCTCTCTTTTGGTTGGTATGTTGATGTGTTGAAAATGTTAATCATGTTGCTGGCCCTCAAGATGGTCCTGTCATTGATAAATGATAACTACCATTAATATAAACTATAAAAAGAAAATATATAGTAAATAAGATCAAAATATATAGAATTTTTGATATGTGGAATTGATAAGTCTGTGTTGTCTGCATAACTAAGCTTCTTAATATCTTATGGCATCACCTGCTTGGCTATATTGGTTTACAATTCGAATTAGTTTTTTTTTTTTTTTGGAAAAAAAGTTAGAAAGAGAAAGTAGGGCAATGAATTATCAATTGTGGACAATTTTTTTGGTAATGGTATATCTAAAGGTAAATTTCCCCCTTCTAGAGAAATTCAGAAGGCAACACAAAATTTCACAGCTATGTTGGGACAAGGATCATTTGGCACAGTTTATAAAGCAACAATGCCTACTGGCGAGGTGGTAGCTGTGAAGGTGCTTAGTACTGATTCCAAACAAGGGGAAAAAGAATTCCAAACAGAGGTATGAACAAAAGCATCTTGACTTTAGTATTTCTTTCTTTTCATATATACTAATTTGTATAGTATTGTGATGGAGACTTGGTGGTATGGGATGTCAAGTCCCACATTGAGTAGTATGAAATGCTCAACGAAATATATAAGTGGGTTAGTTTTCCTACTTCAACAGCTAGCTTTTTGGGTAGGGTTCCCCATCCCACTTAGGTACCCATCATGTTGGAAGAGACTTTGTTAATTATCATAAGGGGTCACTCTTGTGTGATTATATTAGGACTAGTGAAGTTAGTTTTTGTTTTCACATCTCAAAGATGTCTAAATTGTAACTTGGTTACAAGCTAGGCTTGTTGAATTTTTCATGATCTAATAAGATGTTATTGTAGGTACTTTTGCTTGGAAGACTTCATCATCGGCATCTCGTAAATTTGTTAGGATATTGTGTAGATAAAGGGCAACGCATTTTGATTTATGAGTTCATGAGCAATGGAAGTCTTGAAAGGCTTATACATGGTGAGCAAAAGTTCTCTTTCATGATGATCTTAAATTAACTATTTTATTTTCACCCTTCTATCTGTGATTGTCCATATCCATGTGAGATAATAAAGCTTTTAAGTTGGTTGTTGAGGACCTAACAAACTCCGCCTATGTTTATAGCCGGTCCCAAGCCCGGGTAAAGGAGGAGGGTTGTGTTAGACCATCAACAGCCAATGTAAAAATTTGTTGAATCTATCATGAACATGGATAATAGACGTTATAATGTTAATGCTAGGTCGTTGCCCGTAAGTAACGCGCTGCATGGCTCGAGTACAGTGATAAGTGAGTTAGAGCCGCTGCATCGGCGCCCGGATGTAGTGTTAAATGAGCAAGGGCTACCGCGTCATTCTGGACGCACGCGGCTAAAGAAGTTAGTCCATAAGAGCAAAATTAGATTTGGTACTTGGAATGTTGGGACATTAAATTGTAAATCTGTAGAGGTTGTAGGGGTTATGATTCAAAGGAAAATCAATATCCTTTGCGTGCAAGAAACAAAATGGCGTGGAGAAGGAGCTAAGGATATTCAAGGTTTCAAACTTTGGTATACAGGAAAAGTAAGTGCACGCAATGGAGTAGGCATCATTATAGATAAGGAGTGGAAGAAGAACGTTGTAGAAGTTAGCAGAATTGGAGACAGAATTATTTCTTTAAAAATGATAATTGGACGTGAGACTGTTAATATTGTTAGCGCTTATGCGCCGCAAGTCGGGACAGAAGCCAGTCTTAAGGAATTATTTTGGGAGGATCTGGAGGGGTTGATTCGACACATACCACAGAGTGAAAAGATTTTTATTGGAGGAGACTTTAATGGGCATGTCGGGAGGGAAGCTGGTCAGTATGCGAGGGTGCATGGTGGTTTTGGTTTTGGAGAGCTAAACAATGAAGGGCAAACTCTTCTTGATTTCTCATTGGCGTATGATTTTAAGATTGCCAACACTTGTTTCAAGAAGAGAGATGAGCATCTCATCACTTACAAAAGTGGAGCCTCAAGGTCGCAGATTGATTTTCTTTTGGTTAGGAACACAGATAGAAAACTTTGTAAAAATTGTAAGGTGATCCCTGGAGATGCTGTAACGACACAACATAGGGTCCTAGTCCTTGATGTGTGTATTATGAGTAAAATCCAAAAACATCGACAAGTAGTAACACCAAAGATTAGGTGGTGGCAATTAAAAGGTGAGAAGCAAGATATTTTCAAGCGAAATCTTTTGGATAAAGGAATTTGGGATTCTCAGGGAAGTGCTAACATCATATGGGAGGATATGGCTAAAAAGATACGGGAGGTTGCAAAAGTAGTTTTGGGAGAATCGAAAGGTTCTAGTCCGAGAGATAAGGAGTCTTGGTGGTGGAATAATAGTGTACAGGACAAAATTAAGTATAAGAAGAACTGTTTTAAAGCCATACATTTGTGTAACAATGAGGAAAATTGGGAGAGGTACCGTATGGCTAAGAAGGAAACTAAGAGAGCTGTGGGTGAAGCTCGTTCCAAAGCTTTTGAAGAATTTTATAAGAACCTTGAGACGAAGGAAGGAGAGCAAAATATTTATAAGATTGCCAAGAGTAGGGAAAGAAAATCAAGAGATCTAGAACAGGTAAGGTGTATTAAGGATGAAGAGGGAAGAATTTTAGTTACAGATGATGAAATTAAAAATAGATGGGAGACTTATTTTTCTAAACTTTTCAATGATGGAGAGGATTCATCTAGTAACTTGGAGGATTTAGTAACTGGTGAAGGAGAACAAAATTTGTCATTCTATCGAAAAATACGTGATAAGGAGGTAAAAGAAGCTCTTAAGAAAATGGCAAATGGTAGAGCTAACGGACCTGATTGTATATCTATCGAAGCGTGGAAATGTTTAGGTGAAGAAGGGGTGAGATGGTTAACTAAGTTATTTAATGTGATTTTACGGTCCAAGAAAATGCCTGATGAGTGGAGGAGAAGTACATTAATTCCTATTTATAAAAATAAAGGAGATATTCAGAATTGTACTAACTATAGAGGGATTAAACTCATGAGCCACACAATGAAATTGTGGGAGAAAGTAATTGAGCACAGGTTGAGATTGGAGACAAGTATTTCTGAGAATCAATTTGGTTTTATGCCAGGTAGATCAACTACAGAGGCAATTTATCTACTAAGGGGATTAATGGAAAAGTATCGTTGTAAAGATAAAGATCTACACATGATTTTTATTGATTTGGAAAAAGCTTATGACCGTATACCAAGAGAAGTGCTTTGGAAAACGTTGGAAAAAAAGGGAGTACGGATTGCTTATATTAAAGCCATACAAGATATGTATGAGGGGGTAAAAACTAGTATAAGAACGCCTAGTGGTCAAACAAAGGATTTTCCTATAAAGATTGGACTACATCAGGGATCATCTCTGAGTCCTTATTTGTTCAACTTGATTTTAAATGTTTTGACGGAACATATTCAAGAGGAAATCCCGAAATGTATGCTCTTCGCGGATGATATAGTTCTTATAGCAGAGACAAGAGAAGAGGTTAATTGCAAACTTGAGTTATGGAGGAGGACATTGGAGTCGAAAGGTTTTCGTCTGAGTAGAAGTAAGACGGAATATTTATATTGTAAATTTGGTAAAGGACTATTCGAAAATAATTTGGAAGTGAAATTGGGAGATCAAATCATACCTCAAGTGGAAAAGTTTAGATATTTGGGAGCCATTATTCAAAATGATGGCGAAATCAGTGGAGATATTTCACATAGAATTCAAGCTGGGTGGTTTAATTGGAGAAAAGCTAAAGGAGTTATTTGTGACCGTAAGGTGCCTAATAAACTTAAAGGAAAGTTTTATCGTACTGCTATCAGACCGGCAATGTTATATAGTAGTGAATGCTGGGCTCTAACGGGACAGCAAGAGCATAAAGTTGGAGTAGCAGAGATGAGAATGTTACGATGGATGTGCGGACATACACGTAAAGATAAAATTCAAAATGAGCACATACGTGAAAAAGTGAGGGTGGCACCTATTGAGGAAAAAATGGTAGAAAATCGGTTGAGATGGTTTGGGCATGTACAAAGAAGACCAAGGGAGGCACCAGTGAGAAGAGTGGAACATATAACTTTGAGTCCGATTAAGAGAGGTAGAGGAAGGCCTAAGAGAACACTCTTGGAAGTTGTTGAACGTGATCTCTTAATTAATAATATTTCTAAAAGCTTAATAAATGATAGAACACAATGGCGTCTTGCAATCCATGTAGCCGACCCCACCTAGTGGGATAAAGGCTTGTTGTTGTTGTTGTTGTTGTTGAGGACCTAACACAACCCTCTTCCTTTACCCCAGCTTGGGACTGATTATAAACATAAGCAGAGTTATTTGTAATCAAAAGGTAATAAACTTAAAAGGAAAGTTTTATTGAACTACTATAAGACTTGTTATATTATATGATAGTGAATTTTGGGCTTTAAAAGGATAGTAAGAATATAAAGCTAGAGTAGTAAAGACGAGAATGTTGAGATGGATATGTAGGTATACACATAAAGACAAAATCCGAAATGAGCACATATGAGAAAAAGTGAGCATAGCATCTGTTGAGGGAAAAATAATAAAAAATCATTTGAGATGATTTGGACTTGCCCAAAGAAGATCATGGAAAGCATCAGTGAAGAGAGTAGAACAGAAAATTTTGAACTCTATAAAGAGGGGTAAAGAAAGAGTAAAAAGAACACTTATGCAAGTTGTTGATCAAGACGTCTTAGTTAACAACATTTCTAAAATTAAGTAAATGATAAAGCACAATAGGATAGTACAATCATTGTTGCTGCCCCCACTTAGTGGGATAAGGCTATTTCTTCTTCTTGTTGTTGTCGTCTCTGTGAAGAATAGATAATCTGGCATTGTTATGAGATCAGTGAGCCAAACAAAGCTGCAACACAGCAAGCCCCAGAAATAAGGGAAAGTAATCTGCAAAAGAATAATTAGAATGAGATACTAGAAGTCCTGTTTTGATGAGTTAAGAGACAGGAAGTTCTTTCCTTTTTTTTTTTACATGAATTAGTTGAAAAATATATTTTAACATTTTTCTATGTTGTAGATTTGTTTTAACAAAACAATTGAAGTGCACGATATCTTGAATATAGTCATGCAATGATTATTAAGTATATAATTGATTTCCCTCCTTTTCGTCTATCTGAGACATACAAGAGTAGAAGTTTTCTCTGATTTTTTTTTTACAGATGTTACATTGTCTCTAAGGTGAAAGTTCATACTGTGCATGCATCTAGGTGAAGAAAAGGTCTTAAGTTGGAATGAAAGGCTGCAAATTTCTGTTGATATTTCGCATGGAATTGAATACCTTCATGAAGGAGTATGTGCACTGCTATCTGTTATATTATGCTATTTGAAAATGCATTTGTTTAATATGAAAATGCATGGAACAGGCAGTCCCGCCCGTCATACACCGTGATTTGAAATCTGCCAATATATTGTTAGATCACTCAATGCGAGCTAAGGTAAGCTTGTTTTATGTACGAGTCCTTTCTAATGCAATAAATTTCTAATGTTTTTTTTTTTCTTAAATTGGTGTATGAGATTAACTCAAGCAAAAAATCCCTCCCTAACGCTATTAAATCTATCTGTATCATAAAAAACTTCACAAAGAATTGCTTTTGTAGATTTCATCCAAGACTAATTCTTTTTCAATATGAATTAAGTAATTACTATACATATGCTTCATGCAATGGTGATCATTTTCCTCTTCTCCCACGGAAATAGAAATTAAATAGACGACATTTGACATTATTCAGTAACTGATAACGACATTGCAAAATTGTTCTAATCTTTGAGCGTTGAAATCCTTATGCTTTTATGTATATTAGATTAGATGAGACTATATGCTGGTCTTGTGCAGACAACCCTTGCAATTTGATCTTAATTTTTCTTCACTATGCATAATTTAAAAAATAACTTTCTGAGATGCTATGATTACATTTTGGACATAGATTCAATGAAGCGATCAAGGAAAACCATTTTTTAAAAAAAATTAAAAGAATTTAAATGTAGACTCAACCAGTAACTAGTATTCACCAGTTTGATCGTTCAAATATGCATCTAAAGGCAGACTTTTTACACACACACACTGTCATTTAAGCCTCACCCCTCTCTTTGTATCAACTTGATCCCCCTACATTCATGCCTTCATGTATTTATATATATATATATATAGAGAGAGAGAGAGAGAGAATGTGACTGTACAAGGTTCATATCTCATCATCACATTCATCTATTCTTTTCGCTCTATTTTCTCTCCAAATATATATTGTAAATTCACTTTTATGGATGTAAGAGGTTCAAATTGCTCTTTATTTCTTTGTCCAGTTCAAGAACAGTGTTGTATGAGATATATTTTCCAATTTTCAGATGAGTTCACATGTTAATTTTCTTCAAATTGCTGATACTCAGGTGGCTGATTTTGGGCTCTCAAAGGAGGAAATCTTTGATGGGCGAAATTCTGGCCTGAAAGGTACATATGCCTACATGGACCCATCATACATTTCCACTAACAAGTTCACAATGAAAAGTGACATTTACAGTTTCGGTATCATCATTTTCGAGCTCATCACTGCCATTCATCCTCAACAAAATTTGATGGAATACATTGACCTTGTAAGCTACCCTCCCTCTGGAAAATTTAAGATTCATTATGGTACTTGCTTTGTTTCACACCCTTGTTGACTTGACCTTATATTTTCTTCTAATGGTCTCTTCGTTTTGGTGGAAACTGTTTTTTCTCAGAAAGTATTTTCTGTAATTGGATGCAAATCCCCTACAATTAGCATTTGGACTGAATTGTTGATCACTTTCAATTTTGTTCCTTATAAATTAGTTCTGATAATTTAGTCCTCTGATTTATCAAAATACATGCAGTGTTAAACTTCATCTTATCTGCATCCAAAAATTGAAAAATCATGATGACTTGGTGTGAACAATTTTAGGTAAGCCGAGTGCCAACAATGACAGTCCAATCCCTAAATGTCCAACTTCAATAGTATGTTAAATTATCAATATCACCAATCAATATAAAATCTGAAAATCTATAGGAAGCTGTATTATTATTCACAAACCTTAAACAGTGAGATTTCATTCCCCAAACTCCTAGGAAGGCTACCTAGTTTGGTATAAATTTTTGAATAGGAATACAACAATGTTATCAACATTGAAAGAACTTTATATTGAAGACAAGATTGGCAGTGAATAAACTGTAAGGGATCAAATCAGGGTTTTGTACGAACAGGACACTCAATATCAGCATTGTCACAATCGGATCGGACCGGCTGGCTTGATCAGGAACAGGTCTATGGTTTGGTCTGGTTATGGTACATTTTGGGGGGGGTATAACTGGTCAAGAACTTTTTTTTTTTTTTTGGTAAAGTATCTCACTCAAAATCTCAAGAACCAGTTCGGTTTCCTTTAGTGTTACTTAAACACACACACGTTATTTGATGATTCATTGGTTATTTTAGTTAATAATGGAAGCTTGTGTTGGCTTGGTTAGAACAATGTGGCATATTTGATACTTTTGGTTATTTGTAATCGAGAATAAATTGTTTTATTATAATGTAGGTGCAATTGACTGCAAATTTGACATGCATGATATGGTTAAATATTGTCTAAAATATTTTTATATCTCATACACAATCTTTAAATTTTATTATTTTCATTGAGACCTGTCAAATCATTATCTGACTGTTGTCCAATGAACCAGTATCTTGATTAGTTCAATGCATAGTCTGGTTATTACAACATTGCTCAAGGTTGGAACAAAGCAGACACTATATTCACTTTGCTTTTTCCCCATTTGAAGGCTGCAATGGATCATGATGGTGTTGATGGAATAATTGACAAGAAAATAGTGGGAAAATGCAACATTGAAGAAGTGAGGAAGCTTGCCAAGATTGGACACAAGTGCTTGCACGAATCACCCAGGAAGCGTCCTTCAATTGGTGAGGTCTCTCAGGCTATATCCAGCATAAGACAGAGACGCCTTTTGAAAGAAAAGACCATGTCATTTGCTAGCTCTAGCTTTTCCAGAGCTTTGAGCCGACTTGAGGATCAACAGGTTGAGTTAAGCAGGATAACCACCATGGCCCACTAGCTAGTAGATGCTTTAACTGGATACAAATATCGTCGGTTTCAGATACACATTCCCTAAATCAGATCATTGTTGATAACGATCAATATCAATGCCATCAAATAAAAATCAATCAATGAAATATAAGATGTAGCTTTCAGTGTAAGTTGTAGTGTTCACACATTGTGAACAATATAACTAATTTTTTTAAAAAAATTATTCAATACATACCTAGTTGGCTTAAACGATCATTTTAAAAAGTTAACAAATATTGGGACTCATGCATCAATTTTAAAAATTATAATTATAGTATATATCTATAGCATATATATTTAGAATTAATAGTCATTTTTTCCCCTCAAAGTATTTGCTAAGAAATTAACAAGTATCGTTAAGATAAAAACAAGTAACATCATTAACAAGTTTATTTAGTCTTGGTTTAGAAGTTTTGTTATATAATTAAGAGGTACCATCAGTTTAATGGTTGTTTGTCTTTTGGTGCACTGAGGGGTCTTGGTATAAACTTTTCCTTAGTCACCTTGAGGTATTTATCCTCTTATGGCCCGCTACAGGTGGTCCAGCTGCTACCATGGGGGTGGTCCGGAGGCCCGGTCTAGTGAGGTAGACTTGTTTTAAAAAAGAAAAATTAAAGGCATTGTGGTTATTTTCTTTTTCAAAGTTTATTTTCAAGTAAGTCCCTTGATTTTGCAGTGAATGTTCATATTTATTAGGCCTTATTTGAAAGAAAAAAAAAAATCTCATTTGTGATCTTATACCGAAATTCTCCCTAAATTATTACTCCGAAAGACGACAACTTATTAATGATACCTTGTCAAAATGGGGGGGGGGGGTGGACTGGGGGGAAGGATAAATGGATAATTGACCATTTTTTGAGCTGTTTTTTTTTTCCTGATTTTAAAAAGTTGTTGATTATTTCTTTTTAGGACAGCTTACCTTTTCTTTGTTTAAGATTAGACCAATAAACTTTTTTTATTTTTTTAAATATCACTTTAATAGTCAATGATGACAGGCAACTGTCGTTTTCATATTACTAAATAAATTTTTAATTTTATCTTTATTTAATATACACGCTGTGATAATATTTTTTTTAAAAAAAAAAAAGCAAAGAAAAAGAAAAGAAAACTGGCTTTCATGTGAAACGGTCAAAATGAGCAATAAATTCACAGCTCTTCTCCAACCATTCTCATTTAGTCCTTCTGCAGGTGAGCCCCATCCACTGCCAACCAACTTTAACCCCTGCCGCCTCATTTAGCTTCAGAGACAAATAATGGCTGTATCCAATATTACGAGATATTTTTAAGTGAATTATATTTTAAATAAATTAGTTAATTACTATTAAAATTATTTTTTTCAGGGATGCTGTGAGGGTTTAAAGGACAACAAAATAGTGGTGAGAATCAAAAATAATTTAAAGGTTTATCTATACACAAATAAATTAACGAACCTGTAGTTAAGTATTGATGAACTTTTGGTTATTTTCAGGTCTCACAGCCATTTTTCTCCTCTGCATCCGTCATTGCCTTTTTCCTTTTTTTTATGTTTATCTTTATTTAATAGACTTGTTTCAATTAGAAAACTTTATTAACTATATTCTTAAATAAAAAATTTTTGAAAAAATCTTATTAATTATATTTTTAATGATCCAAAACATCTTATATTTTTTAAATAATATACTTTAAAAAATGTCTTATAATATTGAATTGAGGGAGTATGGTTTTAGTATTTACTTAGTAATACTAATTTTTAAGCTCGCAATTTATTCACAAAATGAAAAAAAAAATATAACTCAAGATAAATGGTATTGAGTATGGCCTGTGAATAATGTGATTTCCTAATATTTATATAGATAATTAATTATAGGTTGATGGATAATATTACTTTAACTTATAAAATATTGATGAAATTTATTTTTATTTTTTATAATTTTAACTTAATTATAATTTAATTTTTCATGTTTAACTCGATGTAACTTAATTTTTCAATGTTGTAGGTAGTTATTTAATTCATTGATATGACTGAAACTTTATTATTTGGATACAACTTCTAAAATGACTAAATAATTTTTTAAAAGGATAGGGATCAATTGACTAAACAATTAAAATTTGAGAAACTAATGTTATCCAAAAGAAAAATTAAGAAACTAAACCAGAGGTAAGTATTAAACTTCAGACACCTTATTGTAACTCTAAAATTAAATGACTAATTTTTCTTAAAATATTTCATATATAATGACATTTATTAATTTTATTGAAATTTTATTGATAAAAATACTACAAAATAAGTTTCAAAAGTATAATGAGTAAAAAAAATAAATTTAGAGAGAATTATAAATTAGGGACAATCCTTAAAGGGCCAAAGACTAAATGGGTGAGTCTTTTTAAGCTCAATTATATCTTAGAAGTCTATTTTGCGTGATTCTACCGTGGCTCTCAGGGTTGAAGGGTTGGCTCAAAATGCAGTGGCCCTATTTTTTTCATTTTTTAAATTAAAAATTAAAAATATATATTTAAAATTTCAAATAAATTATTACATATAGCATTAAATTTAAAAAATAAATTTAAATCAATTCACATAACAATAAATTTAAGTCTTATAAAAAATAGCAACATTTCAAAATCAACCACAATGACAATTAAACTTTGTTAATATCATCAACTAAATGTTAATATTTTCATTATCACTAGCGTTTATATAATTTGATCTATTTTCATGGAGCCTCATCAATGACTAAGGTTTACTTTCAATGTAATGTTTATGTTTTTATATTAAATTTAAAAAATATATGTAAAAGAGTCGATATTTTTACTCCTGAACTTGAAAGCATTTGAAACTTAATTTATTATTTTATATTTTAAAGCAAGGGCTTACTCTTAATTTTTTTTTTTTTGGACTTTAAAAGACCGTTCAACTCCAAATGTCAGTCTTAAATTTATGGAAAAAAGTTAGAATTGTGAAAGTTTTTCTTTTTGAAAAGAAAAAAGTCACAACTTCACAACTCACAAAAGAGTTAATGGTAAACATCTGTTTTCCATTGGAAAATTTTCTTTTTTATAATTGTCTTTTTTTTTTTTGGTTGGGTAAATGATCAGATTCAAAAAGAATCATCAAAATAATAATAAGAAAAATGGCCTTTTCTTAATGATGTTTACAATCTGCGTCACCGTCATGAGTCTATACTCCTTTTTAGAAAAGTCATCAACCCGGCAGTCCGCAGTACCACCATTAATACTTAAAAAAAAAAAAAGACAGAGTGGGTCCCACCCCAATCTCAGTCACGTGCCAAAAGGCCCCTCGTCACGTGACTCGTCTGAAGATCATGCCAAACATGGAAAACTCAAAACAACACTGCTAGTTGCAATTGGGTGGTCCAGTCCGCTTTTCTGTTCCCAATAACGTTATTCCCAAAAAAAAAAAAAAAACTTCCTCTGAATTATCAAGATGAAAGATAAGGTCTCATTTACCCAGAATTAAATATACAATTAATTAATAATTATGGTCATATTTTTAAAATTTTGTTAGAATTAGTATGATTTTTTGTTTTAAATTGTATCTTAAAAATTAAAAATAAAATGATATGATCAACAAAAAATTTAATATTAAGACAGTCTTACATTAGTGTTGACCATTTTTAACTTGAATTAATTGAAACTCTATTTAAAAAAAATTATTAATGTTAAGAAAATTTAAGACACATGTACATTAATTTTGAAAATAAAAAGAATTTATGTAATTTAAAAAGTTTAAAAGATTCATCCAATTTACTCATATTTACTCATATTTACCATTAAAATATCATACGTGATTTAAATTAAGATTAACAGTTTAAATTAGCAATAGTGTCCTCCTTTCCTTTTTTATCATTGTCTTCACGTCAATTAATGTTATATGTTATCCGGAATAAAAAAAAGTAAGTTGCTTAATATTCCAAAGTACAAATGTAAGGGTTAAATTAAGAAAAATTCACAATATATTTATATTAAAAAAATTTTGGGCCATAAATAGAAAGCGACGCATGACAGTCTGCTTTGCCTAAATACTTGTGAAATTTTCCCTGAAAGGAAATGAGAAAAAAAAAAAAAAAGAAAAAACACCCTAAAACCCCATATAAATAAATATATATACATATATATAAAGTTAGTGTTAGATGCATGAAAAATACTTTCTTGCATCCAAAAAATTATTTTTTTTAAATGAGAAATATATTTGTGAAAAAAAAGAGAAATGGATGAATTTCTTATTTTGTTTATAGTAAAAAATTTTCCACCTCTCAAGTATTATCAATGGCCTTGTAACTTAGTGACATGCAAGTTCTCATGTGAGTGAAATATTGTAGGTTTTATCCTATTTATAACCTTAGATCTAGAGTTATCAATTAAAATGAATTCATTGAGCTGACTCTTTTAAACTTTAAAATAAAAAAGCTGGCCCTTTAAAATCATTATATATATATATATTATATATATATATATATATATTAATTTTAATATGAAAAAAAGTAAATAACACTAAAAGTTTAAAATCTAATTTCCTTTCTTTCGACTTTTAAGTGAGTTCTCATTCTTTTTCTCTTTAATTGATGCTCTAGACTTTAACCTAAGAGGAAGAATCAAATTATATTAATGTTCATGATAATGATGCTAGCAAAGTTTAATTATTATCGATGCTAATTTTATGATATTGCTATTTTTATTGGACTTACATTTATTATTATGTGGATTGTCTTAAATTTATTTTTTTAGACTTAATGTTATATGTGATAACTTTTTTGTGATTTTAAATAAATTTTTTAAATTAAAAAAATTGAAAAAAAATAGGGTCAAAATTTTGAGGGTCAATCATTTAGCCCTGACGATCAGGTCGAGCTGGCCAAAATAGAATCCTAAGGTGCAATCTGGCTTAACAAAACAGCTTGTTTAAGCTCTGATCTTTTAAAAACTAGTTTTTTAAGATTGAGCTAGCTCTAATTAATAGTTCTACTCACACCATTAATCCTTGCCCCATTAATTCAAAAAAGAATTGTTCTTAAAGTTCTAGTCTTGCCCAAAACAACGCTATTGGTTAATCAAATTATTTGATAAATGATTTTTTTTTTGTAGTAAAAGGATTCATAAAAGCTTAAGCACGAGATATTTTTTTGAGGGAGTAATTCGAATTGGACTGCATCATATTTAAATCAAACCTAATCATATAATCTTATAAAAATGAAGTTATTTATTTGACAATATAGGCGTAATAATGAACGATTTCAATAAACAAATAACATGATATTTCATTCTAATTTTATATTTTTATAAGATTTTTTGTATTTAAAAATTTTTGTTGACACTCTAGATTGACTTTTTATAAAAACAACGGAAAGAAAAGAAATCATTTTTGCCGTGATTAAGAAGGCTTGAAAAAACAGAGCCTCCTCTTCTGTCTGTACTGTATCATACTTAGTCCATCATCACACCTGTTTCCTCACGTGGTACCTGAATCTCTTACTCTCTTGCATAGAATTTCCTAATTTCTACTGGCTTCTCTCTGTTTCCTTCTTCTTCTAGGCTATGAGAAGCTCACATATAGTCCACACCACAGTCCCCACACAGATATAGAGAGAGAGGGGGTGAGGGTGAGGGATGAAAGGAGAGGCGAAGATGAATTCGAAGATGAAATGGATTGGTTTGGTTGGGCTTGTGCTTTCTGCTTTCTCCATCTTCGTCCACTTTCTGCTTGCTCGATTTACTGAGGACGGCATTGCAGATTATCAGTCCTCAATTACAGTTTTCTCTTGGAGACCCATCTTTGAGAATCCAGATTTCTCCTCGCAGGTAATGAATGCGAGGGTGCTTCACACTGAGATCTCAATTTTTCTTCGTTGACTTCGTTGACGAAGTGTTCTGTTATTCTACAGGCAACAAATTGCTATTCTTAAAAAATGACATGGTGGTTTAGTTGCTTTCAATGTCATTTTCCAAGCATAGGGATTTTTTGGCCTGAGCCTGTATTTATCTTATCTATGTCTGGGTCTCTAGAAATATTCAGTGAACAGTGAGCGACCATTTTGTTTTGCTCTTTTTGTTCAACGAGAGAAGCGCGGCTTAATTTTTCTTATTTGGTCTAGATCTGCTTTGTGCGGTTCTTCAATTTTCTGTAATTTTGGATATTATTGAGTCCTCTGCAATCGGAGTTGGCTATACTTGCGTGCATTTTCTGTAGTTCTTCACTATTTGGTTGGTGTCTAATTCTAATGCTTTACTTATAACTCGAGCTGCAGAGTAAGTCATATAGAAGACTATGGGGTTCTGTGAAGCGGCTTGAATCTTTGCATCCTGATGCAAATCCCAGAGGATATTACGCTGGTTGGTTCTGATTATTGTCCTTTCTTCAAATTCCAGAGGATTTTAATGGTGGTCCAAGACATTATCTGCCGACCAAACTTATGAACTAAAAGTCTGTGTTGTGTGTGTGTGGCCTAAAATGAATGAAAATTTAACTAATTGGATAATAGGCTGAATAGCCTATTTGCAAACTAGAATAGATTCATAAGTTTGCAATGTTGTATTTAGTGTCTTCTTGGTGCCACGCATAGGTTTTTGTCAAATATGTCCACCAAACGGTTTGAAATTACACATACCATTCCCAAGTATAGGAATTCCTTGGGGTCAGTATATGCTGCTAATTATTCATGATATACATTCAATCTAGCGTCCTGGTCTTCTTGGCCTTGGATTTAGCTTATTTAAAATATTGTCTCCATCCATTTCTAACATTGACTTCTCTGTAAATTGTACAAAGTCTGGTAGCATATAAAGTAAGCCTAATTAATTTCCATGGGATACTGTTAATTCTTCTCTGTAATCTCTCTGGCCATATTCTTTCTCTCGCAGATCCTAGCTCAGAAAGAAATGGATTTATCTTTGTCCGGATACAGGGCGGTTTCCATGAGATCAGGAACTCAGTGAGGAATTGCGTTTCAGCTAGTCTGTTCTTTTAATTTGATACCATATTGAATCAATCATGTAATGTTGTCTATTTATTTCAGATATGTGATGTGGTTGTGGTTTCTCGACTTCTCAATGCTACCTTATCAATTCCTGAGATCCAATCAACAACAAGCAGCAAGGGAATAAGGTTCTTGCCCTTTAACAAATTGCTAAGAAGATTTGACTTGGTCTGATGTATTCTAGATTAATGAATTTTGCTACCTTTGTTTTTCTTCAATAAATTTATGCATGCAGTTCTCAGTTCAAGAGTTTTGGTTATCTTTATAATGAAGATCAATTTGTACTAGCACTAGCAAAGGATGTCAAAATTGTCAAAACTCTTCCAAAAAATCTTAAGGGTGCAAGAAGAAAGAAGGAAATTCCATCTTTTAAAGTTCCTCGTTCAGCATCGCCATATTATTATTTGCACAATGTCCTCCCTGTGCTAAAGAAGCATTCAGTGGTAGAACTAGTTGTATCCGAAGGTGGATGCTTGCAGGTGAAGGCTATTTGTGTTTTAACTATTATATCCCTCACCTTTTATTTAATCTTGACTTCCCCCTTACCTGCATTAAATTTTGGGGGTAACCATTCAGAAATAGAACATTGTTAGATGTTTTTGCTTTTCTTTTACTCTTATGTGGTGTTTGGTGCCTGAGTATCCTAATTTTCCAAGAGATATTGGAAATATATCTATAAAACATTTGAGCTTGACACACATTAATTAACAAACTCTGTATTAGGACATACGACACAAAATTTTAAAATTTTTATGTTTGTTGTATCCTAACATTTATAAATAGGTTTCTAGACACATGCAATATTAAATTTTTCATATACCAAACGGTTTCTAGGATTTTATATTTTTCTTTATAAATTTCTGAATCTGGGCTTCCTGCAAAAAGCTCAAGACTTGTATTATTGTGTCTGATATTGATATGATAATTGTTTATTGCGCTCTCTTTGTCACTTTTTCTCCTTATTGTCTTTAATTTTTCACATTTTCTCTTGTTTGTGTGTTAGTTATGCACTCTCAAACGTCATTAAAACTTGTTCTTGTTTTTAGTCAATTCAGATGATGAGGGAAAAACATGAAGTAGCTTATTTGCCTTTTTTTCAACAAGTTTGGTAATTTTTTCTTTATGCCGATTCTTTGCATCTAGTCTGTGGTAATAAATCATAACAAATCATCATTAGACTACAAAAGTAATGGGTGAAATTTCAAATACTTGCTGTATTAGTTCTGAACCCATCTATTTGTATATGTTGATTCTATCTTAATTAGCCTTTTATTTATGTTTCTACATTGCAGTAAAACTTTGGTTTTTAAATATTTACTCTCTAAGCTTTTCTTAGGCCATTCTTCCTCCTCGTTTTGAAGAATATCAAAGGCTGAGATGTCGTGTTGCTTTTCATGCCCTTCAGTTTCGACAGGAAGTGCAAGAACTTGCCACCAGGATTTTACAGAGGCAAGACTGATGTTCACGTTGCCCTATCTCATAAATCTGTTCTCTTCATTTGTTTTCTTGCAGTTCTTAATATTTGGATAGCATTTGATATAATTATAGGCTACGTGCTCCTGGTCAGCCATTTATTGCTTATGACCCTGGTATGACAAGAGATGCTTTAGCATATCATGGTTGTGCTGAACTCTTCCAGGTATATTATTCAAACGTTAGAAAATTTTTGCTGACTATCTTTGAGCCTTTCTCAGCATTTAATATCTTCTCTATGCCTTTAAATTCTTCCCAAGGATGTTCATACTGAACTCATCCAACACAAAAGATATCGGATGATAAAACGAGGAATTGTGAAGGGGAAGCTTAAAGTAAACTCAGCTGAAGCAAGATTGAATGGTTCTTGCCCTTTAATGCCAGAAGAGGTAAGAGCACATGCTGTTCTAATTTCCAGCAGGTAAAATTTGTCCATGTTGATGAAATGGCTGGATAGAACATCCTAACTTCATCATTATCGTGTTTGAATTCTCAATCAAGTGTAGGGGTGTATATGATCTAATCTTTAGCTATCTAGTGTACAGTTCAACTAATTAGTGAGCCACATGAACTGAACTTGAAATTGAGCAAAGCTCTAACCAATCCAAACATATAGCTCAGCCCATTTATGGGTGCATATCCAAATAAGTCTGTATAAGCAGAGCCCTATCTGAATCTCAGTTAAAAGCAGCTCAATTATGTATTTTTATGATGATGCACAGTGATTTAGTCATGTATTTGTTATCTAAACATCTTTTATCCTTAACTGAGTGTTTCTTGAACTAAACAAGCCTGATGTAATACCCCAGCATTTTTATTTCATGGATGAACAGAGCTAAGCCTAAGCAATTTACTGACTACTTAATCCATGTGCAACTCTAACTAAGTCCATATGTAAAGTAAAGGACATGCGTTAAGGAAGCTATGTTGGAATTTAAATTTGTTGCAGATTGGGATTCTGCTTCGAGCATATGGATACCCTCAAGACACTATTATATATGTTTCTGGAGGAGAAATCTTTGGCGGCCAAAGGACATTGATTACTCTTCATGCATTGTTTGAAAATGTTGTTGATAGGACTTCTCTCAGCACTCCAAGAGAAATGAGTCAACTCTACGGCCAAGAGATTAATCTGGTTAATACTCCTCCTGGTCCACCACCGTCAATTGAAAAAGAAACTAAGCAAGATGCTTGGAAGAATGCTGGTCCACGCCCTCGTCCACTTCCTCCCCCTCCAGCAAGGCCCAAATCATATAACATTGAAGGTTGGTGGGGATGGGTTGCTGAGAGTGATGATGAACCTGATAGTACTGTCATGGAGTTGCGAACCAATGCCCATAAATTACTATGGGAAGCTATTGACTATGTGGTTTGTGTTGAAGCTGATGCTTTTATTTCTGGATTTGATCGTGATGGTAAGGGACAGCCAAATTTTGCTAGCTCGGTTATGGGGCATAGGCTTTATCAATCAGCTGCATTGAAGACTTATAGACCTGACAGGTAAATACCTAAGCTATGTGTGGGAAGCTTGTTTGTTTTCCACATTAAGCCTGAATACTTTTTCCTTGTTATATTTGTCTTTAAGAATCCTGGAGAAATCATACTTTATCCCCTTGAACTAAGGCCTTGTAACAGGCTTGGTACTTATATTTTAACATGTAAACGCCTACCTAAATTTTGGACCAAAATGACAACTTTAATCCTAGTTAAATTTTAGATCTAAAAACAAACTTTTGCAAATTCAAACATTCCTTTAAGCCAAGCTTTGTTATTGCAATCAAAATCATGTGGCTTCTTGCTGTTAATTTTAATTGGGATTTAACGTTTTCAATTTAGTCCCAAAATGTAGTTTTTCCTAGAATTATGACAATGTGAAGCAAAATAGTCGAGTCAGGTGATAATGTAATGCTTGCAAAATGATAACAAAGCTCTTATAACCTATGTTGAAACTTGGTGATAATTGACTATTTTTTCATAATTTTCTATCATGCTCTTGTTGATGCAGAAAGGAAGGTTCCAGACTTATAGAAGAAATTCGTGACAACATGTATCAAGCAAATCATACTTGGCTAAAATCTGTGCGTAGGCATTTGAGAAAAATATTACTTGATGAACTGATGGAAGCATTGAAAAAATCAAAACAGTTATCCTTTCTTTCTCATCCAGTCCCTGAATGTTCTTGCTTAAGATATAGTTCCTTGGATAGATCAACAGCAAATACTTCCAGTCCATCAACCTCATCGCAACTTTTGACTGCTCTTGGCGGTATTCCACATCGGTGTCCTTCCTGGATGGACACTGGTTCTGTTTCACAATTGAAAGAGAAGGAAAATGAAGACGATCTAGATGATGATGATTCCACATCATCTGGGTTGTTCTTTGGGCAAAACAGGGGAAACCATGAAGGTGATGGAGAAGTAAACAACAAAGATGAAAATCAGCTCGAAGATCAAGAAGAGCTTGATGGCGGAGACCGATGATATGAAGATAATGAATTCACATCTGCATTTAATCCATAAAAGTGGTTGTTGCATCAAATTATGGCTCCGTGGGTTCAATTCTGTGTGAAAAAAGAAGTTCAAATCAAATACTCCATATTTATACATTCATACTTTGGGAGAGAAAGTGACTCAAAAGAAAGTGGCGATATGTGAGATACACATGGCAAATGGCATGCTTTTTACCATCATCTCTTTTCTCTTTCTGAATGCAGCATATGCATTGACCTTTGTGAATATAGAGGATTTACATCCAGAGAGGATTCATATGAAGTGGTTCTGAAACTCAGCAATCCTGCTCAGGAACATGACTAAACTCAGCAATCTTGGGTAAAACAAGCTGTAAGCATCCTGCAGTTATGTCAATTTGGTGTGGCCTAGTTTCATCTTAGTAGACATGTACATTAGTTTAGCTTTTCATTCTTTGCTGGGAAAACTGTTCTGGTTATCCTGGCACATAAATTGTATTTAACTGATGTAGCTCTGATGATACAAACAGTTCAGCCACATTAACTTGCTGGGAGGAAGAATTTCATTTATGGCTGCCTTTGCCAGAATCCTTGTATTGTGATATTTACTAAGATTGTAATTTGTAATCTGATGAAAGGACATAACATATAATATTTAAAAATTCTTTGTTGAGATAATTGAAAATTGTCAGTAAAATTTCTTTTGCGACCAATGTATGCTCTACTAGGGTAGTAAAATCCCTCCCCTCTTTTAAATCCCTTCAACCAAACATGAGTAGTGATTGATTTATTTTTCTTTTTGGTTGTTTTTTATTTTATTGAAGGTATTCTTGTTAAAGCTAACAAGAGAGGAAATTAAAATATGTGACGTATTCATTTTTTTCATAGCATCCAGATGGACATATATACACGTAATATCTATTCTATTTCTACTACTTATTATTTAATAGTATTTGTTTCTTTTTATTTTTTATTTGAGGGCATAAAAGGCATAGCATATCTACAAAATCATTTTTCAATTTTATTTTTTGATTAAGAGTTCAAACCTTTTTCTAATGTATAAAAAATAAGAAAAAAAGAAAAATGGTCTTAGTGATCTTCATATTTTAAAATTTAGAAGGATTCAACATTCTTAAATTAAATTGGAGTTTGAGTTTCTTTTTGTTGGAATGATACAAGTGACCTTTAATAAATATTATTTATACATTACCAAATTGTTTTACCCCTTGTAGGCTTGTATTTACCATAATAATAATAATAATAATAATAATATAACAACAATAACAACAAACAACAACAATAATTGACTATTAATTTGATAGCAGGTTGGTTTTTTCTGCAAATTTGTTTACCAGTAAATTGCAAGTATTAAAAATCAATGGCTATTATACATTGGGAAGTGACTATTTTAGTTGTGCTATTGATTAAAACATAATAGAAAATGCATAGTATGAAAATCTGAATTAACTTGTTTGGTTGAATTAATAAATTGTTAAACTAGTATTTTGATTGATTTAATAAAATATTTTGTTTATAACCAGTTTGATTACTGTTTAACTACGATTTTGATTATTAACAATTGAATCAATGTCTTAATTGATTCAATAACCGCTTTGGTTTTTAGTACCTTAAGAAAATAACTATTTCTTCTTTGAAAATGACTAGTTTAATTATATTACACTTAATTGATAAATAAATTTGCAAAAAGGATATTTATTTTCTATTTCATTTTAGTTAATAACCCAATCAAAATAGTCATTTTTCATTATATAATAGTTAGTATTTATTTCCTTCAGATCACAATATAAGTATTATTAACTAATTTATATTTCTAACAAAAATTTTTAAAATCTTAATTTTCTAAAAAATTTCACATCTTTAGATTCATGCCCTTAAGTGTAATAAATATAAAAATTAACTTATTTAAAACCTTCTCATTAATTACTCAATAAAGTAAGAGTTTAATTGGAAGATATGTATATTTATATATATAACACATATTCAATACTCTATATTTTAGATTAAATAAAGTTTCTAAAAATTGACTTATATTGTGGTCAAGAGGGAGATTGCCTTTTCATTAGAAAAAAAAATGCAAACAAGTCCCTAGAGATTAAATTATAATTTTCACATTTAGTAGTACTCAATTATCATTTACATATTTTAAGGGTATTTTTTTAATCATTTCCCCATATATTATGCTTGAAAAGTAATTAATGTTGGGAGAATAACAATTAGGTCCCAGAACAATAAATTAATGATAATTAAATCCTCAAAAAATTTTTTTATAAAATAAGTTGAAAATATTGATTTAAATAATAAAAAATATAAGATTTTTAATTTCAAATAAGTATTTGAGTATTAAATATAACTCTTAGATCGTAATATGAATTTCTCTTTGTAATTATTTAAATTAATAGTTACAATCTATTTTTTAGAAAATTTTGTTAGGGACCTAATTATTGTTGATTCAAGGGGCTTTTACAGATATAATCCGTGTTATAAAATCAAACTAAGCAAAAAACCAATATTTATTACTCCCTTTGTTAAAAAATATAAGGCATTTTTTAAGAAATTAAATGTTCAAAAATATAAGACATTTTTAGTCTTTTGAGGTATAATCATTGTCTTTTTTTCAAAAGTGCCCTTATTGATAGTGAATTTATATTTATTATAGAGTGTTTAATGATGGTAAATATTAAAAGATAAAGTTAGTTTGAAAATAGTTAATTATTTTATTAAGGGTGAGATTCGATTAAAATGTCTTACATTTTTTAACGGAGGAAGTATATTTTGTATTATAATTGATTTATTATTTTTGTCAATGATATACTATTATATATCAATGATAAACTCTTTATATATCAATATAAACATGACATACTTTTAAATTTTTAAAAATTTGATCCATATTTTATGGGCTCAAGATTTGTTCGGCCAGTGAGCTAATTTATTCTTCATTTCAATTTTTTGATATTTAATTGTCATTCTTCCATTAATATTATATAATCCATCATCTAATGAGATGAGGCCTATTATTATGGTATATTATGTCCAAATTATGATAGAATTGAAATGTATAAAAAAATTGTTAATTCTCAACTATGGCCAAATAAGCGAACAGAATGTTCGTTGCAATGTACATAGAGAATACAATAAAAATATATTTCAATAAATCGGGATAAAAAAAAGTGAGTATTCATCCAAGGATTGTGGATGTGACATTCTTAAAACAGTTTCAAGACATTCTAACTTTTTTTTTTTAACAAAAATGTTAAGCCTAAATTGAAATAAAATTATAAAACAAAATTACCAAAACATCCTTCTATAATATGTTGTTATGCAATATGACAAGTGACACAAGAATTAATAAGTAAAGCAATTAAGAAGTAATATATTTAATCAATAATAAAAGTCCATATGGAAATTTAAATCTATAACTTGTTAAATCATTACTTGTAAAATCAACTATATCGTTTGTCAATTTTCTTGTGTTACTTGTTATATCCAATATGTTACAGCTAATATGATAACTCTTTGATGCCTTGGTTAATGTCCCAATTCAACATGTCTAAGATGTTCCTTGGGATCAAATTATTTTCACAACTCAAATTCCTCATTTAACCTTAGATAGGCCTGGTGGCTTACCTTAAAGAGCCACCCAATAGCAATGAGTCACTTTGCTTGGAATTGTCAAGGTTTGGAGGCTACCCTAACTGAAAGCCATCTCAAATTCCTCTTGAATAAATACAAGCCCTCCCTAGTCTTTCTATCTGAAACAACAATAAAGTTTGCTAAGATTGAATGTCTCCATCATAAATGTGGCTTTGATTGTGGTTTCTTGATTGACCCTGATGATAGATCAAGTGGCCTCTGCTTATGGTGGAACTCTGACTTTAAAGAAATTCACTTCTCTAACCATAATCTTCTCCATCTCATTATCTATAGTGGCATTTTCTCTTCCAAGTGTTTGTATTCTCCATCTCACTTAAGGAATTTTAGTGGAGTCACATGTTATGCTTGAACCCTGGTGAACACTTACCTTTGCATTGGTGATTTCAATGAACTTCTGTATGCTTATGAAAAAGAAGGAGGTTGTTAAATCCTATGAATACTTTTATCATTTTATGGACTCATGTGGCATGATGGATCTAAACTACAGTGGCCCTAAGTTTACTTGGGCCAATAACTGAGAAGGAGATGACTACATCTGCGAGCATCTTAATCAAGCTGTCTTTAATATTAAATGGCATGAAAATCATCAAAATGCTTTGTTGAATGTCCTGGAAGTAGTTGGTTTTAATCATTCCTCTCTCTTGCTCAAGTTATACGGTAGCACCATTAAAACCCTTAAAAGGTTCTGCTTTGAACTTTTGTGGTTGGATCACCCTAAGGTTCTTGAAGTTATTCATAATAGTTGGAACTCTTTTAATCCTGAGCTACTTGATGAAATCTCCTGGTTCAATGCCACTCTTAACAAGACTCGTGAATCTCTTTTAAGATGGAGTAAGGATCACTTTTCTAATAATGCTATTTTGATTAGTAAAATTCTTTATGATCTCAAGGGCTGCTATGGTGATGATTGGACATTTGAAAAGGCCCTCATTTCATGTACCTTGAAGCAGGAACTTAAAATTCTTTAGGATAGAGAAGAAAAATATTGGTTTCAAAGATCAAGAGTTAATTGGTGTAAATAAGGAGATAAAAACTCTAGATTCTTCTATATGACCACGGTTTATCGAAGACAAAGGAATAAGGTTCAACACTTGAAATGCCTTAATGGTGACTGGATTGACTCCCAAGAGGATATCGACCTATAATTTTCCTCTATTATAACTCTCTATTCCAATATGTGGGAGATCATAACGTTTTTAAAGTACTAGATTATGTTGAACCCTTTGTTTTTGACATAGATAATGATGTTCTTGAACAACCCTTCAATGTTGAAGAAATTCAACTTGCTATCTTTTCTATGGGAAGTACTAAAGCTCCAAGCCTTGATGGTTACTCTGGAATGTTTTACCAAAAAGCGTGGAATGTTATTGGTGAACAAATCTACTCTATGGTTAGAGAATTCTTCTCTAGTAATTTGGCTATTTAGGGCTTAAATGATACTAATCTGGTGATAATTCCTAAAATTGAACATCTTGAAACTTTCACTCAATTTCGTCCTATTGGCCTCTGTAACTTCTTATATAAAATCTTCTCTAAACTCATAACTAGTCGAATGAAACCTCTTATAGTTAAGATCATCTTAAAGAATCAACGAGCCTTTGTCTAGGGTAGAGTCATTCAGGATAACAATTTCATCATCCATAAAGTCTTCCACTACCTCAAATTTAAGCATACTGGTTGTCCAAAAATTGCAATCAAACTAGATATGAATAAGGCTTTTGATCGAATCGAGTGGGATTTTCTCAAAGCTATGCTTATTAAATTAGGATTTTCATGGTAATGGGTTGCAAGGGTGATAAGGTGTATTACCACTATAAGTTTTAACCTTCTCCTTTCTGGTAGAAAGGTTGCTGAAGTTAATCCTTAAAAGGGGCTCAGACAAGGCAACCCCCTATCGCCCTACCTCTTTATCATTGTTGCTGATGTTTTATCTCGAATGCCTATCCTGTTGGAAATTGTGCCCTAGAACCAATTATTGTATTATGCACATTGTTATTTAATGAATTTATTTTTTGTTATCAT